GTCCACTAGACTGGGGCCATAGCCCTATGATCTTAACTGACAAGTGACAGCGTCCTGACATCGTCAAGGTCGCAGTTCTTCCTCACAATATTCCTCGAAACACCCGACGTAGCCGCGCGCCATGATCTGATCTGATTTCTGATAGACGTCCTGGTATGGGTGTTCGACGAGAAACGGATACCCAGCACATGGTACTTGGCCTTCACAATGATACCGAAAGCCATGGATGCGTGTCGATGCAACAAGAGCAAGACGCAAGAGATGCTTGCTTGATGCCAGACAAACATGATGCACTAGATGGAAATATTTTCGGCCGGCGGGCGGTGCTCGCACCTCCGAAATTTCTGGCTGCTATCCCCCATTTCCTCGCTTCCTCCAGTTGTGATGACAATCTCATCTTCAATTCTTCCCAGCCAGGTGTGGAAGAACCGAAGAAGCCATGGACTACATCACTGATCCCCTGCTCCTCCTCCTCGTTATTCCCCACGCTCTCTGGATAGGGGGGTTCTACCATTACCATATGTATCGCCATGCGAATGTGAAACCCTTAACATTACCCTCTCCTCCGCCTGTCGTGCCGAAACAAGACGACACCTATGATGCGTTTGCTAGGCTCATCTTCTCCCCCATAGGATGGAGGTGGGCAGAGGCAGCTGAACGGGCGAGACTTGGGTTCATTAACAAGCTGACGGCCACTTGCTTGTAAGCACTTCACTGCTAGAGGATATGATGGCATTGACAACTAACTCGGCTTCCAGTGTCTGCGGCATATTGTATCTTTCATTCTCAACACGAGGCGCGGAGCTTTAGACTACCTCTACATCATTACATGCCCTTGGTACAAGCGACACAATCTAGCCGACTCAGATCCACACAAACGAGCCTGGCAACGATGCTTGCCCTGGAGACGGCTTACGATGGAATCCCAATGGGATCAATGAGCGTGCCGGGTGTTTCTTGTGTTGATGCTTCAAGACACCACGAACGACTACTAGGGAACACCTCCCGGCCCAGCTCCTGCCGTAATCGCCGTGTTGACCCGTGTCATTAGAACCATCCTCTGCAGAATAGTCGCCAGCTTCATTGCGAGTCTTCGCTTTCCTTTCCCTTGTCTACTCATCCCCGTCCACAAAACCGCAACCAGCCCTACCACCGTCACCACCTCCATCACCATCACGATCAGCAACCCTGCAAGGTCCACCTGCCACGTCGTGCTTCCATAGTTACTCGCGCTCACTTGCAGCGTACCAAGGAAGAGAGCCCAAAATTCCGAAGCAGCGGTCCCGAAGGACAAGCATACCAATATGTGGCGACCGGACTTCCATGCGGTGTAGATAATAAAGAGGGGAGGGATTGTGTTGTATTCTTCCAGGTCTCGGTGTGTGGAAGTCGATGCACCGGACACTGTGTTTGTCCCTGGATTTGAAGTTCCCGGAGCTGGAGCAGACGGTGTAGGTGTATGGCTTCTTGGAAGAAATGGGCACACGGCACGGAGATCGCGGTCAACGCATTCGTAGATAGACTTGGGTTCGGGTTAGCAGCTACAATTTGAATGGGGTTGAAGTCCAAAGTCAGACTTGCCTTGACTAGCACACCGATTACGAGATACAGATCGGACGGTAAAGGAATAGAATTATCCTGACTCTTGATCGCCTTGAGATGGTTGTGCAATATCCAAGCCGTTCCGCCCAGGATGGTGAGGACTGTCGCAAGGAGACCTATGACCGGAAGTCGGTTCAACGTGAATGGTTGTTGCTGAACGATCAACCCGGTCCGGTCCAGGAAGTCCTGTAACATTGCCCACCACGAGGTCAACTCCCGTATTAGAGGCCTCAGAGGCTTCGGACGCTTGGAGGGTGCCTGAGGGGGCTTGTGTGAGCATTCGAACCTTAGGCGCAAAACACCGTTTCGTTCTTCCGTCCAGCACCGGTGATTCCTTGCCCACTCATCCAGATTATCAGGATCATTGACAAAGTCTTGAAGCCCGCCTGGGGGAGTGAGCTGACACCTTGGCTTTGTACCGTCCGAAAAAGACGTCGCGCCCATCAGCTTGTCTCCCTCCGTCAACTCCCTCAGCCACTTCATTCCCCTCGGGTCCTTATACAATCCCGACGTCTATGGACGCTGAATATCGGCCGGTGACTCGTCCGTATACTCCTTTGCTCTGCAACAGTTAGTCCAAGGCTTGAAAAAAGGGAACGGCGTGTAAAACCTACGTATTACCAGCAACCCTCTTCAGACTTGTCCGCAGACGATAGGCAGCAAACCGCGGGTTGTACCTGGACCAGGGCGTTACCGCAGGATATCCCTGGCTACCACTCAAATACTGCCAATGTTCTACCCACCCATCCCACCATCCGTTCGCTACAGTGGTCAGGTCCACTACAGCCAAAGTTCGACCCGAATTGCCGCTCGCCGCCGCTGGACATCATGAACCGTTCATGTGCGACCTGGCAGGTGGCTCCGAACCGTCCTAGTGGTCCGTTGTAGAATTCCACCCAGACAAACTGCGGTATCGACAGCACCCAGAGATTGTCACTGCCGTTTCCATCCGGACCAACCATGCCTCCCCATACGTAGATGGCATGCACTGTCTCATCATACGATGGCACAGTCACGATACAAAAGTCTGCACGTCCTTCAGGCCACCACCACCCTTTTGTCGTGGGATCTCCTTTTCCCGTAGTTGTCTCCTGCGAGTAGATTCTCTCAGAGGCCAGATCGAAGACCGTGACCTGACTGAGTGGGTGGTAGCCGGGGACCGGATGGCAGTCCTCGCTCGTACAAAGAGATCCGCCCATGGCGATCAACACTCCCTTCTTCCCGTATGGGAGGTAGACTAGGCCGCCACTGGTCCTTTGATTTCCGAACCCGCCTGGAGCATCGTAGTAGGAGAAGTTGTAAGTTTCCATGTCGAACTCGATGAGTTGTTGTTGGTAGGTTCGGTTGCGCATCTCGTAAGTGGTGGAGTTGTCGGCCCAGCCGCCCATCCAGTATGTTTTTCTCGTCTCTGGAACGCTCACGCTCGCGCCGCATGCCAGACGCAAGGGCGGAGAATTCTGGACGACGTTCTCCCACGATTGAGTGCTTTCAATGCATGACCATACTGTTTCTACGGTTGATGGAGCACCGGCGGAGGAGTTGAAGTACTGGCCGCCGAACAGAAAAAGGCGGTCTATGTTGTCACTCCATAAGGCGCCCATGGCGACTTGCGGAACCTCGTCGGGTACGTCGAGGGTGTGGAGGGTCATGTTTTCGTCAGATTGATTGACATATCGTAAGCCAGGGTCTGTTATGCACAGGACGATGTTAGTTTTCTCGCGATTGTGGATGGGGGCATGACAAGCAATTACATGGAAGCCATGTCGGCGAACCCCCGGTGCAGTTATACAAAGCTCGTCCGCCGTAGAGACATAACCTATTATTCAAGACTGCGCCTACGCATTTTAGTTAGCAAAAATCCATGGTTTGTTCCTCCAGGCAACAGAGGCTCACTTTGCTCAAACACGCTCTTTATCAAACCATTGCGAGAGCAGTTCTGGGCTCTGGTAAGGCACAACAGGAAGAGTTGACCGAAAAACAACCGCATCGAAGTTGGAAGCACCATGTTCACGAAACTTCGCCTGAGCCTATGTCAAGCTTACGTCTAGCAAGTCCACGGTCTCGGTATGGAGAGGCATCTTATACATGAGGGAGCTTGTGCACAGCCGTCCAGATTCTGCCTACCTGAGACGAACCGTTACAAGCACAGGAGTATTATCGCTGGGATAGAACAATAGAGTAACGGAGTAGTAGCCGAAAGGTACTGGTAGATTGTGATAGCTATTGCTTGCTGAGGAGCCCTATACAAGAGGTCTGGGAGACTTCTTTATATAAGGGTCCTCTATGGTGCGCCGCTGCGCCGCTGCCGCGGCGCCGGTACTGCGGCGCCCTCCTTATTGGTCTATGTAGCTAATTACATAAGTGATCCCTTATTGGATCGTAACACTACCATAATGTTAGTTCTGCACTTTCGGAGAAGATGAGCTGGGAGATAGGGCGAGACCTCGAGGCTTACCGGACGGTTACCGAAAGTATTCGTTGACAGACCAAGCCACAGAGAGTACTCTAAAGACGGTATGTGTGTCAAGCCAATAACCATCAATACCTTGACTGGGTGAAACAGCAGTGCCGCCACCAACACAACGGTGTAATTTCCGCAAAACGGCAACTGCACTGGCGTTGCCGAGAAAAACAGTCACGCCTTGTGAAGTCTAGCAAAGATGCTCCGTGCCGAACTTTCGGATATCATGGTTATGGTGAACGTGGAAACAGGGGATCAAAAACGCGGGGTCCCCTATGCCGGACGACGGAGATCCCGCATGTTTTCATCCGACCGGCACTTGATCTGGTGCAGATGGATGTTTGCCCTTGAGAGATTGTCACGTTCTTCGCGGAACAACAAAAGACATCCGCGGCCGTAGTTCGCGTAGGTATCGAGGCTGGTGTCCTTTTCTGCTCATGTTGTTATTGTGGTGTTGTTTGCCCAGTAATTTTATCATTGACACCTGTGCACGGTCCAGCAACTAGAATTGTTCTGGAAAGGGGATTCTGCAGGGCTGTGGCGGCAACCAGTCCGGAGGTCCCGGGGTGCTCTTCTTCAGGGTCTTCAGGGGTGATGCTTATACCGTACATGGCCATCTCTTTCTTGTCTCTCGTGATATCGGGTTGTCCGACGCTATCTCGTTGTTGAAACGGCTGGATGACTCTTCTGATAATGTCTGGAGGGCGAAAGACAGTACAGCGAACCACAAGGGTGCTGCTGCTATCGTGCAGTACTCCACGGCATGAAGTCATCGAGGTGGATATCGTGGTGTCGGCTAACAATCCTTTTTCATCCCCTTGTGATCTTTGATACAAAGCTTGTAGCACAGCGGTGAGGAATTGTATCGATATAAATGACGGTGTTGTTGTTGTGTCGTTCTCGGGCATGGTCGTCGTCGATAAACAGTGTGGTAGTATTGGATGTGGGGTGTGGCAACAACATAGCAGCAGCGGCGTTACCCTTCGAGAAGGCTTGTTCTAATCCTTCCAATGGCTGTCAGCGAATCATTTCAGTGTCGGGATAGCTGTCCCTCGCTCGTCATGGTTGTTTCGCCCAGCTTTGAAACGTTCCGAGGACAAAGACGGGGACCAACAGCTACATCATCATCATCCCCGTCAGCTAGGGGGGGGAGGGGGAAGCTCACCTCTTCTTGCATCTTAACCTCTCCTCCTTCTGGAAGCCAGCTTCCATGCATTCTGACCGATGCTCTTTCTGAAACGTTCTTGTGATTCCTGCACTTGTTGCTGTTGTGGACGTCGAGATAACCATCGTTGCTTGTGCGGTCGCTGAAACTGCAGTGGACGGATTGGGTGCCGGCGGTTACGGGGTATCACGCACTGTATTCGGCACTAAACCAAAACGCCCCGGCCCACGCTGCCGAACGGTTGTGGGAGACACGCAGCTGCCATTCTTCTTCATCTGGACCTGCCGACGGGCACAACAACCCAAGACGGGACGAAAGGAGCAATCACTTATCTCTTCATATTTTTTTTGGTTCTCTTCAAGTTCTTCATTGTTACCTCTACCTCCCTGAGCTACCGTCAAGCACTTCGGCACGGTAGGTAGCGCATCACGATTCGACACCACCGGCGCCATAGCTCCCACTCAACACGTCAAAGCACCGAAGCATTGCGATTGCGATACCCCACAATTGCCATCACTACAGCAAGGGCCCAAGTCCCCCCGGCCGCGGCCACATCGCCAGCAACCAGGATTCCCACCACTGCTAGCTTGCTTGTGACCCGACCTCTCTTCGCTTGCATCCAACCGTTCGTCACACACGGACGCGACACTTCGTCACACTCCCCTCGACTGTTTCAAGAGCTGCCGTAGCTACCTTCTTACATCAACCTCGAGCAATACCTATTTCTGTGAGTACAGTAATGCGCAGAAGAGTGACACCCAGAGAGGATTGACATTGACCAAACCTCCTCCTCCCCAGAACCCCTACACTACAAACGACAGTTTCCATCATCGACCTGACGCAATGTTCCGTCGTCGCAGTTGAACTGTCCCCAACTGATCCACCCCACGAAGCCGCAAGCGGACTTTGGCGACCCATCTCGAAGCATACCTACCTCTCTGTACACCATAGCATACCTCTACAGATCACGTTCCTCCGCACTTGCCTGTGCCCGATAGCACTCTCACGACTGGCATGACCGACCGATTCTCAAGTCCATAAACCGAGCCGACCGATATAACCCCACCAAACAACCATCACCAAACATGCGCCGGAGTCGAACACCGCCTCCATCGCCATTCCGGGTCCTGGCACACCATGGGGGACCTCAACCGGCTCAAGACTCGGGCGCCCTCATCAGGTCCTTCAATGTCGAGACCAATCCCACTCGGCCGATTCGCCCTTCTCCCTTGACGGCCTCCACCATCCCCGACATGCCTCTCGACCTGGTTGACCGAATCCGATCGTTTCCACTCTTCATGTCCGCCCCCGAAGGCTTCCTCGTTGCCATTGGCACCCACCTAAAACCTCAAGTCCATTCCGCCCAAGACCACATCCTCACAGAAGGCGACGAAGCAAAAGCCATGTACTGGCTGGTACGAGGCGTGGTCGCCGTCACATCTCGGGATGGCGAAGCTGTCTATGCCGAACTCAAACCCGGCGCATTCTTTGGCGAGATTGGCGTGCTGATGGACGTTCCCCGGACTGCGACTATCATTGCAAGGACAAAATGCTTGCTGGTCGTTCTCAAGAAGGAGGACCTGCAAGCTGAACTGCCCAAGTACCCCGAGATGGAAAAGGCTATTCGCCAGGAAGCACAGGAAAGGTTGAACATCTTGAAGAAAAAGCGGCAGGAAGGCGGCCAGATGAGCAAACCGTCGACCAATAAGCTAGCCCGGGAAGCAGCGCCTGGCCAAGTTAGTACCGGAGAGTCGGGAAGCATCAAGGAGGGCGCCGTGGTCAAAAGCAAGAAGCGCAAGTCGCCCAGTCCTGGCGTGATTGACGACCCGACCATTAGTGGTAGCGCCCTGGGAAGCGGTTACGTCAATGTGCGAAATACGCTTAAAGAGCTCCCGCTGTTCTCGACGCTGCCTCCCGATATCCTGCACTTCCTGGGCCTGAGCGCACAGCCAAAGTCCTACTCGCCTTTTACCGACATTGTCCGTCAAGGTAGTCGCGGCAACGACATCTACTTCATTGTTCGTGGTGAAGCCGAGGTCGTACATGAATCCGAAAAGACGTTTTCGCGGCCCCGACTAAAACAGGGACAGTACTTCGGTGAAGTGGCTAGCCTAGGCTTGTCTGAGGGGAGAACTGCCACGGTCCGGTCCATCACTGCAGTGGAATGTCTGATGATCGGCGGTGATGCCCTTGAAGAGCTCTGGAGGCGCTGTCCACCCGAAATTCGATCCCAAGTGGAAGAGACGGCTCGGAAGCGCATCAAGGGAACGGATGAAGATGTGGAGATGGTCGATGCCCAGCCCGAAGTTACCTTTATTACACCCTCGAAGCCAATTTCGCCCGCGAAAGAGAAGACACACCAGCCTTCGGATCCTGATCCGTTCCTTAGCGTGGACATGGAGAACATGCGCAATCGTCGTAGGAACTCGATCGCCCCGCCAACTCCGCAGACTGATGCGTCTGCTATTGTTAACGGCATGAAGGCTATTACGCCCGAGAGCAGCCCGCTACGACATCCTGTACCTGATGGCTCCCCGATTCCGAGCAAACGCGCACGAACCTTACCTTGGCGATCATCCACGGTAGAATACGAAGCCAAGAAGCTTACCCTTCCAGATGACATCCTGGTCTGCATCTTCCAGCACCTAGATCTCCTCGAGATGATCAGACTACGAATCGTTTGCCGAGACTGGCGTCGCCTGCTTACCACCAGCCCCAACCTCTGCACCCATGTTGACCTCAGCTTGATCAATCGCAAAGTAACCGACTGGTCTCTTGTTCATATTCTCGCGCCCTTCATCGGTCTACGACCAGTCGAGGTTGACATCAGCAGCTGCTTCCACATCACCGATGAGGGTTTCCAAGCCCTGTGGAAGCAATGCGGCAAGAACATCAAAGTCTGGAAGATGCGTAGTGTCTGGGACGTTTCCGCCTCTCAAATTCTCGAAATGTCCGAAAACGCCAAAAGCCTCGAAGAAGTCGACTGGTCCAACTGCCGCAAAGTAGGCGACAACTTGCTTGCGCGAGTAGTAGGCTGGGTGGTCCCCGAGCCTCCCCCCTCTCGCTCCTCTGAGAACGGCGGCAAGGTAGTCATCGCCTCTTCCAACTCCCGCAGCAGCAACCGTCGCCTAAAGCCCACGGGCACCACCGCCAACGGCTCAGCCACCGGCACCGCTCCCGCCCAACCCCCGCCCGGCACCATCATAGGCTGCCCCTCCCTCGCCCGCCTCAACCTCTCCTACTGCAAACACATTACCGACCGATCAATGCACCACCTCGCTCTTCACGCCTCCTCCCGTCTCCAATCCCTCACCCTAACACGCTGCACGAGCATAACCGATCAAGGCTTCCAGTCCTGGTCTCCCCACCGATTTCCCAACCTCACGAGCCTCTGTCTGGCAGATTGCACCTACCTAACCGACACCTCCATCATCGCCCTGGTGAACTCGTGCAAGTCCCTAACCCATCTCGACCTCTCCTTCTGCTGTGCGCTGTCCGATACCGCCACCGAGGTTATTGCGCTCGGTCTGCCGGGTCTGAGGGAGTTGAGGATGTCGTTCTGCGGCAGCGCCGTCTCTGACGCTAGTTTGGGCTGCGTGGCGCTGCATCTGAATGAGCTTCGTGGCTTGAGCGTGCGCGGGTGCGTGCGAGTAACTGGTGTAGGCGTGGAGAATGTCCTGGAGGGGTGTGGAAGGTTGGAATGGGTGGATGTCAGCCAGTGTAGGAACCTAGGGGGTTGGTTAGTTGGTGGAGGAGTAGGGAGGTGGGGATTTGATGAGCGTGTTGCGAAGAAGAAGGGTGATGCTTTGAAGCATGAGGTGATCGCGAGCAAAGCACAAGGGGGTAAGATGGGAGCTGGAGGGGTTGGTGGTGGCGTGCAAAGGCCGAGGGGAAATGGCGGCGGCGGCGGACTGAGACAAAGCAAGGTGCTGGGGCCAGGACCAGTAATGAGGCCGATTATTCCGCCGAGAGGGGTGACGAATCATCGGACGAGGAAGCCGATACGGTTCGTGGTTGAGAAATGTGGTCTCGAGTTGAGGTGAGGTTGCTCGAGCATAGACCCCAGGCTAAGAATCAGGCATCACTACCTACCTACGTCGGCCGGTAAACTGCATGCACATAATGTTTCATTATTACACTAGGGATGGGCTTGGATGAGGTCATGGGTTGGCTTCGGTTACCTATAAGCGCGGCAAGGTCAAGTTGCTATCATCGACCGGCTGGACAGGATCAACAGGACTTGACTTGGTGTTTCCAGACTCTGGTTTTGGACATTCGTTTTGTACATATTACCTGGGATTGGGTTCTGGATGGGGCGCGGAGCCTACCTACATACACATACAGAACATATGATATTGATACCCTTTCATTCATCTTTCACCCTTCATCAGACATGTGAACCTAATTGTATCTAGCGGGCGAGACTACGACCTGTTTTTTAAGCTCTTGAGTCTTTGCAGGGCTAGGCTCAAGTTCTCAGACGGGGATTTGATGATACAGGAACCAGCACAAGAAATAGGCATGTTCCAATAGCCAGTTGGAACGATGGTAACGACAATGGAAAGTCAAGGAACTATTGAAGATATATGTCATTCGCTGGGTAATTCTATCATCTACAGATATCGCTCGTAGTCACTAATCACACGCTCCCAAACGCCCACGATATACCTACCTTACCTACTTGACAATGAAACCTGAAAGATGAAAAGTGAAAAGCTGCCAAGACACACCAAAGGACTCGACAAAAGGAAAAAGATCGCTGACAGTCAGAAACAAAGGCCCAGAGAAAACACTAACCCAGAAAGAAAGGACGCCCAAGAGACAATCACAAAAGCCTGCTCAATAACAGCTCACAGGAACATATTCCTCCTATCCGCATCCCTTACCCTCCCTCCTGGCGCTGTGTAATCCACGCCGGTGACACTGCTAAGGTCCTTCTCAAACACAGACTGGATCTTGGTAACCTGCAACAGCCTAGCCAGATCAAGCTTGACGCCCTCAAAGCTCGCCAGCGACTCAGCAGCCTTGACGGCGTTCTTGATCTGCCGACCGTTCAGATCGTGTTCCGCCAACCTCTCTAGCCCGCGCTCATCAATGTCCACACCTCCGGGCACCATCCCGCAAAAGTTCTTCCAGATCTGAAGCTTGGATTCGAACGTCAGGTCAGTGTACCTGATAGGTATGTGGATTCTGGACTTGAACGCTTCGTCAAAGGTGGTGACGCGGTTGGTGGTGAGGAAGAGGATACCGGTGTAGTACTCAAGAACGCGCAAGAAGACCGAGACCATGGCGTTTCTGTGCAGATCGTGGAGGGCACGCTGCTCGAGGAAGACGTCCGCCTCGTCGATGAGCAGGACGGCGCGCCAGGTGGCCGTCATGTCCATGATCTTAGTGAGCTGAGCGTCAAGCTCGGAGGAGACGCAGCCGAGGTCGCCCGACGAGACCATATACAGCGGGCGCTGAACGTACTCGGCTACGCATTCTGCCGTCAGAGTTTTGCCGACACCTGGGGGGCCGTGAAGCACGCAGACAAGGCCTTGGCCTTTGCCCTTGACAATGTCGTCGAACCCGGGGCGCTCGCGGGTGTGGTTGGATACGAGGGCTTGGACGGTCCTCTTGATGGTGGGATCGAGAACCAGGCCATCGAAGCACGACGTGTTCCATTCGATGGGTTCCAGCTTGTCTACAAAGAACTCGAGGAAGCGCTTGTTGGTAAAGGAGTATCCGCGGACGGTGGCGTTGGTCATCATGGCTTGCTCGTCAGTCAGAGGGTCGTACTCTTTGGTCTCTGATGTGAACTTGATGGATGACAGCGAGGGGACTTTGGGCTTTGAACTCGGCAACTTCTTAACGGTGAACGAGTGGTCGGCCGCCAGCCGGTGGAAGGTGGCGCAATCAATCATGACGCGTCCGTTGACGCCGAAGCGGGCATAACCTTGCATTTCCTTCTTGATGACGGCAAGTCCATTGTATTGAACGTAGTGCTGGCCAAGATGCTTCTCCCACTTGCGGCCTCGGGCTAGAAGGGTCTCCCGGATCCCGTTGGCGTCCTCATGCAGATGAAGGGGAACGATGTCAAGTTCGCTGAGCTGGACGACGCCAGTGTACTTGCGGAAGGTCAGGTGCGACCTGAGAGTCCCCACGTCCTCGCCGTCAAAGTCAATGTAGCGACAGGAGAGAGTCATGCCCACAAGGTTGGCGTGATCATCAAACTCATTATAGTACCGGCGGACGCGAAATGCGCGATCCTGGTCCAAGATCTTGCAGTGAACAATGGTGTCCGGCGGCAGGAGGGTCCAGGCGTGTTCGTAGGAGATGGCACGCGTCTCGCCGGAGATGCACCTTTCGTAGGCAGCGATCTCGGGCTCAAAGTGGTTCTTGATCCAGTCCATGAGGAGGTTGAACTGTTCAAAAGCCTCGGCTTCGTCAGCAAAGCGGCGCGAGCCCTCGGTCTCGAGTTGCTTGCGGTAGTGGAAAAGGGAATGGAAGGGAGCTTCGATCTGGACATCGTCGACATCGATGGGGTCCGAGGGATAGTCGCCAATGACGTCCCTGAGAAGCTGACGCAGAGGCTGGGGGTTGACGTAGAGACGGGTGCTGTCGTGTTCGCCGTGGTGGTTGTAGTGCTTGACAAGGCAATAGGCATAAAGGCGCCACCAGTCCTTCTGTGCTGGTTTGTCTATTTCGGTCTTGCGCTCGGTGAAGTAATGCTCGTCCTTTTCGTCATATCTCCTATCAAGGTGCTTAAACTCGCACTTCATGGTCTGATCCTCTGGGGCCTTGTCTTTGTCGTCTGTGGCCGCGGTGTCGGCATCCCCGTCTTTTGTGGCCGAATCTCTGGTGTCTGTGTCTGTCTTTTTGTCTGTCTGTGTAGGTTCGTCTTTCTTGTCCTCGGGCGTATCTTGGGGCTTGGTATCGCCATTGGTGGTCGTGGCCTTGCCAACTTCAGGCTTGGTCTCGTCATGGCCGTTGACACCGTTCGTCTCGGTAGAGGTACACTTGCAGTGACAACACTTGGTCTTGACGGGTTCTTGGGCAGGAGCCCCGTTGGGGACATGCTCGGTGGCGGCAGCGGGAGCCATAGTGTCTCTCGTATAGATGCTGTGATATGCCTGAAGGACGCAATGAATGGTAGTTATGGTAGCACAAAGGAGACAGGCAGAAAGGGTTTGCGACAGGAACTGGGGGACAAAAAGAGAATGGACGGGAAGCAGTGGCATACACCTACCTTTTATACTTGGCCAGACTTGCATCCCCAAACCCAACCTTCCACTTCCTTGCCGTTCTGCCATCCCATGTCTGACATGTCTATGCATGGCGCCTGCGATCCCAACCAGCAACGGGGGTGCCTTTCGGTGAAAACAGAAGGAGGTGAATATCGCTGACGATGCAGGCTGCCGTGGCTGGTTGTGTGTTCCCTCATTGATGGCCCCAGCGAATGGCGAGCGCGTTGCATCAGGCAGACGGGCGACCTCTTTGCTCTCTTGTTCGGCTTCCACTGATTGTTTCGCTTCTCTTTGGCTGTCCAAACGACCAAACCCACGGCGATGCTGCAAACTTGTGGGGCCGGTGCGCCATGACTCGTTACCGATGCGATGACTGTGACGATCTAACGGCAGGCAGAAGTGGTGGTCGGGAAGCGAGACATGCCCTGGTGGACAAGGACAACTGGCACTGAGGCTGAGCTCCTGTCTTGCAGTTGCGCCAATGGTGAAAAGAGATGATGGGAGGAGGAAAGGATGAAAGTGGAAGACGGGAGGAAAAGAGCCCAGGAGGGAGCCTGTCGCGGCCGATTATCGGACCAATCCACGCCAGGCGCCAAGATCCCACTGCTGAATGACGAACATTGAGGGCAGGGGTCCCCGCCAAACATACCACTACTGGTAAGCTTTTAGGGCAGTCCCACACTATCCGCTCAGCCCTATACAGCGGGGAATGGACCCCCGGCCAATTTCAACGACACTCCCGTCCCGCATTTTCTCGTCATCAACACCTATCATCATGGTCCTCGGACACTCAATCAAGGCTCGCTATGCGGGCTTTTGAGAACCATACCCAATGCTTTATCATACCATCTTTGATGATATCAATCATGTTATAACATCTCTTTGAATTTATTCACGTTTGGAAATGGAATGCACAAACGCTGTTCATCTCTCGACTGATCTCATCTGAGGCATCCAGCCTTGCTTGGTGCATCTCTCCTCCGCTTTGGAAACCATGAGCCTTCAATCTGTTCAACAATTGAAGAAACCAAGGCTTCCCGAAATATTGAACAGCCATTGGCAGGAGCAAGAAAAATATGACATGGGAAGCGGAAAACCAGATGCTTTGTCAAGTTGACGCCAAAATGACCACCAAGTCACCAACACCTTATTCCTTATTAGGTGGCTGGGAACGTCTTTCTCGGAAGGGGCTGTTGCAAGAATGATAAACCAGCCCGGAAATCTCCCATGCTTTCCGATACTGCACCGTCCAGAAGGGACGGATGATGACTTCGTCCGTGTTGACGGGATGCCCCGCGCCTTATCGTTATCTTTTCCGGTTTGAGATCATGGAGATGAAAACCTCGAAAGAAGGAAGGAGCGCCCCATGAGCCCCGTCACGCGTCTCGGGTCTTTCGAGTTCGCGAACTGCCAAACCAAGGAAAGCGACCCAGTCGTGTTTGCAAGAACGAAGGCTTGTTTCTTCCTATCTGCACACCGGGAGACTTCTTGCGCACCAGTCGTCCCGGGCAGAACACGCTTCATTTATCATCGTTCAGTCCAGAGGCGCGCATCTTGTATCCATTGGATTACCTTTCAGTTCCACCATTTCGACATAGGTGCTTTCCTCCTAAAGCTTCCAAACAAGCTTCATCAACCCAGCCTCCCTCTTCGTTTGGTGCCAGGAAGGACACACCAACACGATGCCCCCAATCAAGACCGAGCCAGGCCTCAGCATCAAGACCGAACCTGGCCTGAAGATCAAGTCAGAGCACGAAGCTAGGTTCGACTTCTCGTCTATTCCACAGCCGCCCGTTCCGTCCGCTCCTGGCAAGCAGGAAGATCGCAAGCCCGTGAGTTCACCTCCCCGACACCCACTTTCTCTCTCGCTGTGTCCTGACGCAACATGTCTAGGACCTCTCCTTGTCTACCTACCATGGCCCATCAAGCGGACGGCGAAGATCCCGCCATTCCAACAACGTCATGGTTCACCGGCTGAGGGATGGAGAGACGATCCGCGCCCAAATACAAGCAATCTCAGGGCATAGTAGTCTTCACTCTGAGCTATGGAGCACCCGAAGTAATTGACGACGACCCAGAAGAAGGGGATTGAGCGGAGGAAAAGATCTTTGAGCGCCTCCGAAAGGCACATTTCAACATAAAACCGACAGAGCCCTCAGGATTCCTGTGCCGCAAGGTACATCATCTTTTATTCCACTCACGCGGCTTATGCGATATTATTTCTGTCAAAGTGGAACGGATATCCGAGCACGGCCACGCGCCTAGACCTACTGTGAAACAGGAGCAGGTCAACAAGGAACGTGGGGCCGTTTTTGACAGGACTGTGAACTAGTGTTCGGGGAGGCCCTACGGGCCTCGGCCCTTCCGTGATGGATGAAAGGCTGGAGGAACACGTTGGGAAGGAAAAACGGGACCAAAATGCTGCACTAACGGAAATGAACAGTTATATGTTAGGCCTAACAATTTTTTCAGGGCCAAAAACAGTTCGTGCGGTAACAGTTACATAAGGCCTGCAGAGTTCTGTATGGGTCCCGCCCGCGAAATGCACTAACATACTACCTGCAACTTTTAGCGCCTGTTGAGTTGTAGATATATAGACTCTTCTACCAGTCCCAGACAGAATGGACAGACGAAACCGCCGTCCCCGTCTACATCGTCCTTCGGCCGATCCCAACCAGCTACCTACATGTCGCAGGTCTCCTCCAGTGCTCCAGCACTTCACAACCCATTCCAGCACGGCTTTGACATGCTCACGCCCAAAGAACAACCTACGACCGTTGCTCATCCTGTCGCCCCGAAAGGCACATCTTCTCCCTTCTTCGGCTCCTCTTCTGCCCTCACATCGGGTCTGTCTAAGGACCATGGCAATCAGATTACGAGCAACTCTCGCAGCGTCTCCCGTCACTCGTCTCCGGAACCGAAGTCGCTTTTTTCAAGCAAACCTTCTCTTGGACCCCCAAAGTTCCTCCACCACCTTTTCTCTCTTCGACCCCCCGCCTGGACCGAATCCCTTCAGGGCACCTCAATCGCCCATCCGCTCTCTCTTCGGTTCCTTCACAGTCGCAGTCGCCGACTCGGGGCTCTTTGGGAACACTCTTTCACCGGTCAAGCGTAATTCTCTCTTCGATCTTTCTACAGGCGCGGGCTCAGGGCTCTTGAAGAAGACATCGCCGCCCAACCTTCCTTCCTTCACCTTCAGTACTCCCACAGTTCCGGACGCAGCAGCGGGGCTCTTTGGAAAGACACCTCCACCGGCAAACCGGAGTTCTCTCTTCGGCCATTCTACAGCCGCGGGCTCTGGGCTCTTTGGGAAGCCTTCATCCTCTGAACGGCCTCTTCTGGCCGCTACTACCAAGGTTGTTCCGGAGGTGATTGTTATCGACTCCTCTCCCGAATCATCTCCGACGCCTTCCCCACGGCGATCTCTGTCGAAGGAGCGTGCTGCGGGAAAATAAGGCTCCCAGTGCCTAGACTGCTGTTTACGGCTACTAGGATTCGCCTTTCTCCTTCCTCGGAGACCTTTGAAGTTTTCTTGTGTTAATGTTGGAGAAGCCTATGTCCGGGAGGGCCTTACATTGCCGTGATCGGAAGAAATAGTCACCAATGTACATGTTGGATCACGTTACGAATCTATTGTGGATGGTAATGGCTCCTAGACTTGAGATCTGACCAAAGATTGAGAAGTAGCGGGAGGCTCCAGCTTGTTCGGTTTGATCTATTCGTGTTGTTCCTTATTGTGATGGATGATTCCTCGCGGATTTCGTTCCGGTTCAAGATGCTTATAATGTACTTTATCTAAAATAGCTTAACCTGACCATGGTCGCAGTCTGAGACAAGACCGTGGAAACAAAGATCAGATACGATGATAGAAAAGATGTGCGAAGATAAATGTAAGTCGGGCTCATGGCCCAATATTAAAACGCCTAAACTTCCGCTGTGATCTGCTTCCTCGCCTCAGGGAATTACATCCTTTATCGCGGCAATGACTTTGTAAAGGTTATCTTGTTAACTAAGACACTTCGAAACCTCCCCGGAAGAAGATCAGAGATTCTACAACCGCTTCTTCTTTCATACTATCCATTGGCGGAACATTAGGACAATCCTAAAAGATGTACACCTACACGTGTTTAAGACTAGCTCAAAATTCTTGTTTGCCCATGCGAGCGCACATTCGACATAAGATGCCGGGCTGGAATGAAGTGTCGGAAGTAGGAAGATCATGCTAGAAAGGACTTGACTCTATCTAGGTACTAGAGTAAGTAGGAAGACAGTAGAAGAAAGAAGAAGACAGCACTAAAGGACACAGACGGTGAATAGACGCCAAGGCACGGCAAGCCAGCGGCTATTCTACGTGAAGAGTTTGGCCGTTCACCATCCCCACCGCCAAAATGTACCCCTGTTGTAGTCAAAGTTCCCATTCACTTCCTTCCTCGCTTGGTATATTAACCTCTCAACCTCCCCCCTGATCCTCCCACTCTTTTGCAAACACAACAACCAGGGCATCTTCTGAGCAAATCTCCCAACAGCCTACCCAACCCAACCCAGCATGGCCACTACCGACACTTCAGACCCGTTGGCTGCAGCCAAGAAGCGTCGCCAGGACATAATCAAGGAAATTATTGTTGAGTGCGAGGAGCCCGTCACCGAGGAGGACATCGAAGTCGCCCTCAAGGAGATCGTCATCCCCAAGGTGCTCGAGGAGTTCTGGGACAAGGGTCTCAACAACTCTGTTACTCCCCGCTACTGGCTCTGGTCTTTGGACTATACCCTCTATGTTCACTTTCGTAAGTTTCTCCTTGCTTGATAAGGTACCCATTCGAAGAAACGAAGGCCATCAAGTTCAGTTCGTCCTTTCTAACAAGCTATCGCCTACCCGTATGTATAGTGACCGAGGGATACTCTCCGGAGTTTGATCGCAAGTGGCCCATGGAGATCGGCCCGGAGGGCGAGAGCGTTCCCGAGTACGATGCCTATGTCAAGGACAAGCTGAAGGAGTATGAGCACATGTGGCAGCAGCAGCCCGTGCCTCAACCTCAGTCTACTACTAACACCAACACCGTCACCGAGGGCAAAAAGGTTGAGTTGCTTAAGCAGACCCAGGGTGAGGGAAGCGGTGAAGAGGCTGCCTCTGCTGCTAGTCAGACTTAGCCTGAGGCCAAGGAGAGCGGCGTCGAGCAGGAATAAGGGCAATGGCGAGCTTCTTCGTGTCCTACGCACTTGAGCGGAATACCTAATACCTTTATTGGAAGTCCGTTCGCTAGTGGGCAGCCATTCACTGGCCTTGCCCATTTATTGGCACTCCTTCCCAGGGGATCTAGGCCGCTCTGGTTTCTGTTTCTCCTCTTTCCGTTGGACAACTCCAGAATCAGGTCTGGTCCTTTCCGTTATCGGCTTTTCCGACTTCCAACACCTTAGGTACCTTCTATCATAGACAGAAGGGAAGATGCTGGGACTGGAAGAGTCAGGTATCTTAACTTGCAGTGTTCATACACAAACAATTCAGGACTGAAAGAACACCTCCTTACAAATGTGCTGCGTTGGAAGAAAGTTACAAGTGAACAACCAATTTGATCGACGAAAAGTTCGATTAGTAGCAGCGGTCCTGAGACTGCGTAGCATCAATGGTATGATTCCAGAGTTGAGTTTAAACAGAAAACATCGGCAACATCACCTACATCTTGACCACGACGTAATTAGTAACCGTCGGAAGGCCAGTTGGTAGAATCGGGAGCGAGACCGGACTAGATGGGCGCCAAACCGGGCACTTATCAGCACGAGGGCGCAAATCGGCAGGCTCGCTGCCGTGACCGGATAGGAGGAGAGCCAGAAAATGTTCGTACACCCCGCCTTTTTCTCCCTATGGCCGCACACACAATTCTCCCAAACTCTTTTCTCACATCTCCATCAACTTTAGTCCGTCAAACCAGACCCTCATAGACACCACAACTACCAGCTGACACAACAAAGGCTTTCATGCGAGCTACCACGTACAACGATGGACTCCGGACCTGACAGCAGCAGCTATGCCAAAGGCCGTGGCTAAGATCTTGGTCGCGCCGGCGACTTTGAACAATCCGACCGCGACAGAGCCACGCAACGTCAACAACACATGCGCGACATCATCACCAACGCAGGATTTCCCAACGACATCGTAAACTTGATTGACCTTGCTCCTGTTCAAGCCAGTCATAAGCCAGTCAATTTGTCGACTACCTCACCAAAGACATCCCCGGTGCCACCTTCACGGCGACCATACACTCGCCATTTTACTCACCCTACACCCTAGAGGTAGACATCGGCCCTCCAGCCTAGTACGTTGAGGAGCGCATGGAGGAACTAGGAAGAGGCAGTCTCTATCAGGCCCATGAACTTTCAATCTTTCAGACAGGGCTTTTCTCATTTGTGCGTGCCCCAGTCGCTGGAGCTGGATCATCCAACTCTGCCTCTCTTCGGCCTCCCAAGCCCGCTCCCTACAACGGCCCTCCCTGCACCAGTGCCTGGTGCGTCGAATGCCAAAAGCCACCCGCTCCTTCACTGCGGCTTCTCCTCCTCCACTCACGGGGACACCCCAGGCTGTCCGCTGTGCAACACCCTCAGCCAGTGCACTCGTTCGACAACTGTCTGGCACACAAAGATCCCACCTCCACGCACAACCGCCCCGAGCGTCACCTACAGGACTTCAACATCCTCGTTGTCTCCCGCAGCTGACTGCCGCCTTTCCGAACCACCAAGAAGTTATGGCTGGATGTTGTACTAGGAGGAGAGACTAGCAATATTTTGAAGGCCGGGTACTTGATGGATGGGATGTATCCTCTTACGAAGAAGTGTGCTTTGGATGTTAGGGTGGTGCATAAACATGGGAATAGGTATAGTAGTCCGAAAACGGCTGAGAGGGCGGTGATAATGAAGAATTTGAAGGACCTGCGCAAAACGGAGGTGTATGCTGAGCCGGAGCTGGAGCCGCATGGTTCATAGGTAGCCTTCTCGACCTCTCTGGGTTGATGTCTTTAGGGCTTGTGGCCTTATCGACGAGGATGAAGAAGCGGTTGTGGAATATGTGATCTGCAGGTAAGCCCTTTCCGTGGAATTTTCCAAGTGTTTTGTTAGACAGGATATAGCTAGCTTTCACGAAGAAGAGTGACATTCCTTACAAATATGTATGTTGGACCCAAAGAAGCAACACGGCAAGAGTTTGGTCCTTCAGACTCTGGGTTCTAGACTTTTAGCGAATAGCCTTCTGTAGAAATAGTGTCAGCCTGGTTTCTAGTTTCATTGTGCCATACCTTTGTGCCTTCCCAGGATCGCCGCGGCTCCAAGCAGCGGAGTCTTAATCGCCTGGACAATAGCGGAATCTTGAAGGCAGAATTCCCATTTTTACAACTGCATATTTGTGGAGTATGAATCTATCGAGGGAGGGAATGTCCACCAACGCTAGACAATGGTGTGAATTGTGATCGTTGGCATTGGGCAGATTCGGGAGCGAGACCGGAGTCGGCGCCAAACTATCCAGCACAGCTGCACCCGTAACCCGTAACCCGGTACACCCACCTGTCTAGGTAGGCTTCTGGGCGGATACGTTCTTCAGCCGGTCGGTTGGTCTGTTAATCGTCGATCATGCCATCACTCGAATCCAGTGCATGAGCAAGATGGCCTCGATGGTTCCGGGTTCCCTGCCTGCGTAGGTCGAACGTCAGCTTCCGGTCTCTCTCTTCTGAGGCAACCGGGTTCAGGTTGGACTCACGGATATGCGGACAATGATCTCTTTGGCTGTGTTAATCAGTTCTTGCTCCCCCGCAGCTTGGTTCATCACGAGTTGTCTCCTTTCAGTTGCGTGCAACATTGAGAGAGGTGGGAGGTCGGGTTCGATTTGTTGACGACGGGACGGGAGCCTCGACTCCACAATTCAGCCATTCGCAGAGTGGGAGGTCGAACCCCTGAAAGGGACATTGATGGCGCTGAAATTTAGCGGTTATCAATGCACTACAGGAGCCTGCAGGCGCTACAGCAAGTCCGCCCCGGTCGAAAGGCTGACGAGATGCAAGGATTTCACGCCGGTTGGCCCCATAACACTTACAAGGCTTCACAGCACATCCAGCGTTTCCAGCGACCAGGGGCACTTAAAGTCAAGGATTGGATGCTAACGGAACCGTTCAACCGGCCAGGGTCCGTTTGTACATTATCAGCGTGTAAAACTTCCAATCTGTGGGAAGACACGCGTTGGTGAGTATTAACAGACATGGAATTACAAGACCCTGTGACTTTGGCCTTTTACGCCCGAGATGAACGAGGGCATCACCACGATTTTCGTTAATCGTCCATGCCAAGATCTTGACCTTGTGCAGTGATCTCACAAAGGATGCAAATATCGAGCTCATGGCTGGGAGAGCACAGTATAACAGCATTAAGTACGGGTCTTCAAACATACTACCCGTAGTGAACAAAATGCCTTATGGTCTGTATAATCTTTCTAAAAGTATTGAGTACATCTCTACGTGAGCATCGTCCTTAGACAACGGACGTAACGAATATTGACCTTCACCTTCATCGTACGTCTATTTTCTGTTCACCACCCGTCTGCACAGGATTGTGGGCTTACATACAATCTTCCTCCTACAACAAAAACCC